TACACAGCTACAAACTGCTAAAGCTGATAAGTAAAATAGAAATAAATATTTATAATGTGAGCGCTAAAAATGTACACTTAAATCGCAGATGTTTTCTGTAGAGATTTTGAGGAAATAAATATGTATGTGCATATGTATGTAAATGTACTATATATATATATGTAAGTTCGAAGTTCTCAGAAGTTATTTCATTATACCTTTCATGGACATACATATGAATTGTACATGAAATGTTATATTAACTTTGGACTCCGAAGTATGTACATACATATGTTTGTATGTAAGTACTAGAAGGAGAAAAGAGCAGACCCATCAAAATCCGTCTGTTAGTACACAAACTAGTCTCGGAGTTTTTGAGATATTTCCATCAAACTTGGTGCACAGATGTATTGTAGGATTTAAGGAGGCCAACTTCCTTTAAAAAATTTTGCAAAAACTCGAAATTGTTTTTCCCCTGTTAATTTGCTAGAAAATCTGCTGCTGCTTCTTCTTCTTCTTCTTTATTGGCATTGGCACCGCTTACGCGATTATAACCGAATCAATATTATCTCGGCTTTTCGCTGTTTGGCGCCAGTTGGAAATACCAAGTGAAGTCAGGTCGCTCTGCACCTGATCCCTCCAACGGTGTGGATATCTTCCTCTTCGTCTGCTTCCAGCAGCGAGTACTGCATCGAAAACTTTCAAAACTGGAGTATTCGCATCCGCCTAGCCAGCGTAGCCACTGCTTCTTGATTCGCTGAACTATATCAATCTCGCCGTATAACTCGTACAGCTCATCGTGCCATCGTCTGCGGTATTCGCCGTTGCTAATCGTGCGCAAAATCTTTCTCTCGAAGACTCCTAAAGTCGACTCATCAGATATTGATATCGTCCACGCTTCTGTGTCATATAGTAGGACGGGTATGATGAGCCACTTGTAGAGTTTCGTTTTCGTTTGGTGCCTGCTCAGTCCAAAGTAGCACCTGTTGCTAGAAAATACTCGAAGAAATAATATAAAGTTAGTCCCGAAGTTCCACAAGACCAAGAAGTAAGTAGAGAAGGGTGGAGAGCGTAAAACCGGCCGCTCGAGTACTTTCATCGGCTTTTTCTCGAAACCACGACATTCTTACTTAGAACCTTTTTACTTTATCAACTTATAAACTATTAAAATTGAAAAAAAAAAATGGTAAAAAATTAAAAAGTCCGCCATTTTTTTTTTTGGTTTTTGGTCAAAATGTTTCATTGTGAAACAGGATTTTTTGCTTTCAGATGATTCGTTTTACAGTTGTCGTGTTTCCGCAGCGATTTTACGAGCTGCCATTTAAACAACTTTTTTTTATATTTTTATTTTTTTACTTATCCACAAAAATTTTGATTTTCTAATATTTTTTTTTTCAATAAATAAAATTTCAATCCAAAAGAAAAGAAAGATAAGTCAAAGCGACGCCGAAAAAAACAAATAAAAGCAAAATTAAAAAAAAAAATTACCAACAAATAGTCAAAAGCTGTTCAAAAATAGTGGCAACACCGTCTGTATGAAAAATCGTCTGTTTCTTTTGGGGCAACTCAATATATTTGTGTATGTACATATGTACTTCAATGTGAGTGTTGAGTGTCAGTCAATATGTTGAAAAATATCCAATTTTTCTATAAAACTAAAGGAGTCGATTATTCGGTTTCATGCCTACTTAGCCTGCCTTACTTTTTAAGTATGTTTATTTTTAAACCGCATTTTTTCTATCGTCGCTCAAATCAAAATGTGAAGGTTTAAAAATAGTTTTTCAGCAAATTCCACCTAAAAATTTATTATTCTGTCATTCTTGGAATTTTTATACGTAACTATGTATGTACGTTTGTATGTATGTATGTAATTTATTTATATACACTTAACTCTTTATCTCAATATAGCGTAAAGTATGAGTCAAGAAAATATTTCTTAGTAGTTAATATTTATTGGGAGTAGAAATTAATTTGGTCCATTCTCAAAAGATGGCATCACCTGCAAATTGGATCTTGGCCGCGATTACCTATGTATTTCATTGGAACGCTTTCACATCGCTATTGAAATGGGAGGTCTCTCCAGGTATTCTCCAGAGCGTTCTCCTTCAGACCACTGACTTTTTCGACGGCTGCAAAACGATTTAGATAGAGGTGCAGGTCTTTGGAAGAAATCGAAGAATGTTTCAATAATGTCTCAATGATTGGATCGGGCAGAGATAATACATTTTTTCTACAGATGGTATTCCAAAATTACCAGAAAGATGGGAAGAAGTATTCGTTTTCGAAGGATGTATTTCCAACTTTTTTTTTTTCAATAAAAAACTGCTTTTTGAACATGAAAAAACGGCTCGAGTTAATTTGTAAACCTTCACATGTACGTGCAGGAATGTGCTAAGGTGTATTTGGAGGACAATTTGTATGGAACTCTTCGGCTGGAATGTCCGCGACTCTTCACGATCGCCTGAATGTCCTCAATCGACCCAAATGGGTTCCTTTGACCACCGATTTTGTTTTAGGGAACAAAAAAGTCGCAGTATGGCATATCGGGCGAATAAGGCGGTTGTTGCAACACGGCGATCCCTATAGAGCCCAAATATTGGGATACGCTGAGGCCGATGTGACACGGCGCGTTTTCGTGATGAAGGATCCAGTTACGAGCGATGTCTGGACGCAGTCTGTCGACTCGTTTTCGCAAACTTTTGAGTACTTGGCGATAGTAGACTTGATTTACGGTTTGCCCCGGTGGAAGAAATTCTTTGTGCACCATTACACAGTCGCACCTCGACTGGTCCCCCCTCCGCGCCTCATCTTCCACGCTTTCACGTCCGTTCTTAAACTCTTTATTCCATCGAAACACCCGGGGACGACTAAGAGCACTGCCACCACGTACTTTTACAATTTTAGCGTAGGTTTCCGAAGCTATTTCACCAAATTTGGCGCAAAATTTTATCGCGACGCGTTGCTCTTGATTTCGTTTTTCCATTCACGACACAGCAGGCGAGCTAAACAAGCAAGAGCGATGGCAGGGTTACCACAGTCGCGGCAATATAATTAGTCTTATTACTTAATTGTCATACCTCGCATAACGGGTACAGCTCATCGTGCCATTGTATGCGGTATTCGCCGTTACCAATGCGCAAAGGTTCATGACGAAGAACCTAACATGTGATATTAAGAAGACTTTTGCAACCCTCGTTATGGATTACGCAGAGTACACTTAGATTCCAATCATCAGGCATGCTTTCATCTGACCATATTTTGTATAGAAGCTGATACATGCACCTTGTCTTAACAGCTGGTAAACCATAAGCTTCTGTCGTTCTGTTATTCTTCAGAGTCATCGTTTTTGGGTTCCCGGTTTTCGATCTCTCCGATGTCAGCCTGTAGCGTGATAATTTTCTTCTACCGTAATTTAATGGCACGGAAAACCATAATCCGTGCTCTGATGAAGTTTTTGACATCGTGATTACAGATATGACAGGTACATATCCTTCCCGTCCGTCGGGCATGGGCGCAAGTCAGTGATAAGTTGTAGAATTTTGCTTTCATGCGGAATGTGGTTAAACTTTGATACACCAAAGAGAGTGTCAGGTCACAGATCCTCTTTTCTACAATAATTTTTATAAGGACATTGACTAGCTGGTCAGCAGTGCCTTTTTATTAAGAGATCGCGCAGTTCAGAAACATGTCCTAAAATCGTGATCCTTAAAGCCTTCTCAGGGGTCGTGATCAAAATGAGTTTTCTCATCGAAAGCTTTTAATTTTTCATGAGAGCATGGTTTTTATGTGGTGGATTCCGAACATCAAGTACAACATAACCTCATAATTCCTACTCACTTTACCACCGTCCGAACGGAGGTTTGTTGGATAATCAGAGGATACTTGGTCTAAGATCAGAATTGGGGAGCTGCTTGACCGCTTGTAAAAGAATAATTTTTAGGCACTTTTCTCCGTGTGGACTTCTACGTTGGCCGCGTCCTTCATTTAATTAGACCTAGGTATGTATGTATGTATGTATTTACATACATTTATACATACATATGTATGTCACTAAAGAAAATATATTTGGTCGGTACATGCATAATTTTTTTTCAGGTAGAGTAAAAATCGGTTATGCATGAAGCTCCAAAAATTGTTAATCCACCCTAATACTTGCATATCTATGTATATACATACTACATACATGTAAACATACATACATATGTATGTACATATGTCTAAATTACATTTTTAACCAGGTGTACTGTTATTTTGTTTACTTTTTACTCAAGTGCGAGGCAGTAGTGCAGGTTGAGACATTTAATTTGATTTGCACATACGCACATACATACATATATATCTATGTATGTACGCAAAAATAGTAAAATGAAGAATGGCCAGGGAAAATCCGTTTGAAATGAATGTCAAACTAAAGTTGTTGTAGGGTACATTTGTTTATACTCACGCGCTACTCCTTCCGATTCGTTGCCAACATTTAAATGTACATACTTACATACTAAACTCTGTTGTGTTTTTGTAAATATGCACATGCGCCAGATGAGAGCTGAGAGCCACATTACGAACTTACTCTAGTGTTGTATAAAAATATATACGAGTACGAATGTTTATACAATGTACATACGAGTATGTAGTGTAAATATGTAGCTAATAAGAGTCACAAAAACCGAGGCACTTACGCGAATATTTTATTTTTATTTTTATATACAACATTTTGAGTCCTAGTATTTACTTATTTATGTATGTACAAATGCATACACGAATAACGGACGAACTGGGTATACTAGTAGTCGCGCTGCCCAATGAGATTGATAAAGCACATTGCTTTCATTCGCCGTTCAGATCGCGCTCCGAGCAGTCATATAATATTTAGTTGGTGTCCAAATCGTGGTCGTTTGTCGGTCATACGGCATCGGGAAACGGTGTATAAAGCAAGCAAGCAAGAAAAATAAGTAAATAAATAAAATATACACAGCACTTGTTTTCAACCAAAAAATTATGTGAAATAAACCAACAATCAACAACAACAAAAACACGCAAAGTGGTATTCAAAAACAAAAAAAAAAAGAGTGAATATAATAAAAGAATAAAAGAACATTCGTCGTCGTGCGCGTCACAACGCTACAATTTGCACTTACAAAACGTACATAAATTATCAGTAAAAATAAACTGATTGAAAAAAATAAAAATAAAATACAATAATAATAATGGAAAAATATTCCATAACATAGAATCTCAAATATAATCTACGAAAAATACCAAAAAAGTGAGACTTCGTTTTAAATTCGGTTTATTTGCGTTTGGCTTTGTGATTATCACACAAATACGTACAAATATTTTTGTGTATATAGATTTTTTACGAACATGACACATGTTGAATTTTCGTTATTTACTTTGAAAATCATATGTAAATAAATAACCAAAAATTTAACTAAATATTATTCAAATTTATTCATATACATTTTCCAATCAAATAGAGCGTTCCTACGCCTTTACCGCGAATATCTAATTATACTATTTATATATGTATATCTGTGCAGTTAATCTAAAGACATTCGATGTGTGTTGATATATGATTACTCGTTGGAAAAAATGTGTCTCAACATTGTTTGCATTTAATTAAAATCTTGTTGAAGTGCTAATGGCGGCATTACCATGTTATACAGGTACATACTTACATATGTACATATAAATACGTATAATAAACATATGTATTTAAATTTCATTTTGTTTTACTTACTTTTTAAACATATAATGGAAAAAAGTGTTCTTTCTACTCACGTATTTACAAAACATTTGTATGTGTATAAACTATAAATATGACGTGACGCTTATTTTGATAGTTAAAACTAAAATGTGTGTAAATAGTCTGGAAAAAAAAACACTAAATAATAATTATTTGTACGTAAATGTGTTTTACATGCATACATACATATGTATGTACACATTCTATATGTTTACCTAGAGTTTATAGCGCCGATTCTTACATATTTATGTACGAGTACAAACATATGTATGTAGGCACATAAAGGCACACGATGATAAAAGTGATTATTTAGAGCAAATAAAAATTGAGGAATTGTGTAATAATATGTGATTTTATTTGCTTAATGCTTATATGTGTTTACATACATACATACATACATACATACAAAAACATACGCTCTATAAATAGATATCAACAAGAGTGATACTACAAACAAATAAGAAAATAACATATATACATATGTACATTTGTATCTATGCAGATATCCATATGACAATAGCGGAACATTTAGCAGTAAACAATAAATTAACCTGTTTTTTTATTATACTTACATATATACAAATACATGTGTACACAGGTCCATGAATGGCGATCATTTAGTCATAGAAAGGCTGTTGATATTTATTCTAGATTATACACACATTCCTACATACACGTATATACATACACACATATGTATATTATTTAAATATGAGCTAAAAATAATTAGTTGCTTGAAAGTGTTTAGCTAATAATTCTCGGAAGTGTAAACAACTCAATTTAATAAAAACTGCGATTGTTCAAACAACTAAAGCTGCGACATTGGAAAAATTATAAAATTGAATTTTTTAGTAATGAGTTTTTTTGCCTTTTTTGTTTTGTTTTGCTTTTTTGGTGTTTTTTTAATTTTTTTTTTGTTTTTTTTAATTATTTTTTTTTTTNTTATTTTTTTTTTTTTTTTTTTTTTTTTTTTATTTTTTTGTTTTTTTTTTTAATTTTTTTAATTTTTTTTTTAATTTTTTTTATTCTTCTTTTGCTTTGTTTTTTTTTTATTATTTTTTTTTTGTTTTTTTTTTGGTATGTTTGTTGATTTTGTAAATTTATTAACTTATTATTTAAAAATCCATTTCACACAAATTATTAACAATAGTCAACCAAATTGATATGTTTTCGGCTATAGATGAAAGCTGATATCAAATGAATTGAATGTATGAGGGCCACCAAACAATAATACATATATGTTTTATTGTGTCATTAAAACATCTACTCTCAGAAAAAAAATACAAAAATTCTACACTTGGAAAATATTTATTGCTTCACTTCAAATAAATGAATATGAATATGAATATTTGGTTTTTGTTAGGTCCATTCTAAAGCTACTATAATAAGCTTCTAGCATTCCTGAATTTCATTTCTCTTGATAACGATTTTCCATTAAGGAAATGTTCCGGATTAAACCTCCCACCTTGCTCATCACTCACGGCACTCAAATTTACCGCAAAGAAATCCGGAAATGAGAAATGAGAGTCCAGCATATCTCTTTTTAACGGCATATTACACTCCATAACTTTGTATGGAATTATGAGTCAATTTATTTATTCTTTATGATTCTCTGATTTATGTTATTTTTGTATCAGGAGTAGGCAAATTCCAGTCTCAACTGTAACCGAATGTTATTTATGTACATATATATATATACATATATATATATAATAGTCAACTACTATATTAGTATTGCCTGAACCGTATGCTGTTGAGATTACGAATACGCTCTGACCGACGGAAAATATTTATTACGTGTAGTAAAAAGTAATCCATTATTTTTGCAATAGCTGTGTTTAGTAATCTCCATCTCGTGTTCTATAAGTGCGATTGGATTACGCTAGATGGCATTAGAAATATAATATTTTGTACTATTAAAAAAAAATAATCGGAGAAGTGTTGATCACTTAACTCATTAGCGTTTGAGCGCATATAAAAAATGTGCAGCTGCGAAGAGAAAATGCGAAGAAAGGGAGGGTACCCTTTTTAGACACGTATGAGGAAGAGTATCTTAAAATCTGCCTGTGTTAACGTCTATCAAAATTAGCTAGTAACTTATAAGCGGATGCCGAAGAGAGGTCCTCAGCTTAATGGAAGGTTAACCCATAAATTTAGTACCAGGCCATAGCAAGAATATTTCCCCTAATGGATCTGAGGCGAAATCCAGCAAATTTTGTCCGAATATGACAGGTTAGAAACTAAGATCCCACTATATGCACATATGTACAAACATATTATATATATACATACATATTTCTGTTTAATTAAACAAATGGGCGCTTCAGAAACTTCTTAATACATACATACATTTAAAATTCCATACTTTAAAAGAAATGGGGAAAGAAATTGATTTTTTGTAAGTTCTGTTCTGGCTCAGCACGAAATTAGGATTTTCAAAAATTATAATTTTTTTCATTTGAAAATTTTAAATATTATATATAATAATTAAATATTTAATTGCATAAGAAAACCAATTTTCAGCTTTGAATAAAGCTACCCCCATCACCGTTATTACAAATTTCAAATACTCAGACGAAATATTTTTTATGTTTTACGAGTATTTTTTTTTTTTGACGACGTAAATAAAGTCTCTATGCAGTATGTGCATATATATGTATGAATGTATGTATTTGTATGTGTATGTGTATGTTTCAGCAAATGTTACGCCTCGTTTCTTTGTCTCCACACTATTTATATTCGCTAATAAATCAAACTATACACGTGTTGAAGTTTCACAATGGTTTTAAAAATAGAACCAAACAAGCACACATAAACACACACAGCCGTACATACATACATATGTATGTATGTAGATGTATAGATAAATGTCTGTTATTTATAAACTTTGTGTGTTGTTACGTCTTCCTTCCAATTTTTATCAATTTGCAGTTAATGGAGTTTTAAATCCGTTATCGTCTAGATTAATTACTCATTTCCCCACTCAAACTGATAACTTGAAATTTTGAAAATCGCTTTTATTGATTTTTATTAATAATAAACTTAAATATGTGTAGATTAGACATATGTACATATGTACATACATATCGTACAAGTATTATGAAAATCATGAATACATAAAATTACAAAAAAAAAAATTAGGAAATCCTTAGTACGGATGGTCATGCGATAGGCAAAGTTTCGAGTTCTGATTCGATCAACATTTAAAATAATCGAAAAATAAATTTTCTAATTGCGATCGCCGCTTGGAAGGAAATATAATATCAAAAGACCTTCGTATGTATTTCTGACATGAAATAAAAGCTTCTCGTAAAAATTTATTGGCCATGCTTGGAGGCGGCCTAGTGTGAGCTGTAGGTCCCTCCAGCAATACATGAAGGAGGAGCTCGACAGAAAATCGGCTCAGCGCCAATTGTATTTAAAGTAAATTTTTACTTTAAACTTGGACGCATTAGATCTGCACGAAAGTTAGAAATTTGTGTTGGATAAAATAAGGTTGGTCCAAAATTTGAATCCATATGAGTCAGCCGCTTTTGGTACGCAAATATTTATTAAAAAAAAATATATATCCAGAAAGTGTCGTCATTACATGAAATGCGATATATATATATATATATATATATGAACATTTATATATATATATATATATTTGTCTATATCTGTTATAATTAAATATAAACATATATATACATAAATATAGCTAGTTAAAATAAATTATGATTATTTTTTGTATTTTTTTTTGCTTTCATTTCGGCATAGATTTATTCTGCGCCGTAAAAGTGAATTAAAAAGAAAAACCAAAAACAAAAACGTAAAATTTTATAAATATTTTTATGTCTTTAAAAAATATATGTATGTATGTGCGAAGATGTTGATGTGATTATGCGATTTCATTATAATTTATTAATAAATTTTATAATTTTAAATTTTCCTTCGTAATCCGGCGTATGTGTGTAAACGAGTATACATATGTACATCATATATAATAATATTTTTGTATATATTTATGTATTGTATTTTTTACATACTTGACATTTTAAATTAAATGTGTATGCATGTACATATGTGTGTATGTAAGTTATTTGACGATTCTGCTATTTTGTAGACTATAATAAAATTTGTTAATTAAAAAAAAAAAAAAAAAATTAGGCATAAAAAAAATTCCCAAAAAAAAAAATGAGAAAAAAGTGCTGACTGACTTCGCGCAAGCTAGATACGAGGGTTGCCTTTTATATTTCGGAATTAGAGAATAAAAGCAGATAATAATTAACGGAAATCCCTTTATAGTTTTTCAAAATATTCCCCACTAAAGCGGCCGCAATAGTCGAATATTGTTAGTATTGTGTACTGCCCATCGAGAGGTCAGGACTCGAGCGTTGATCTGACCAACAGCTGAAAAAATTAAAGAAAATTAATTTAAATAAAAAAATTCAAGTTAATTTTTCTCATTACACATTACACATGATTACACATGTGAGTTCCTCATAAAAAACCGCCAGCCGTTCGGAGGCGGCTCAAGGCGCACATTTTAAATTAAAGAAGAAGCTCGCTCGAAAATAGCTTCAGCGGTTACAAAGCGTCTGTTATACATATGTACTCGTATATACACCTAACGAACATTTAATTGTTTTTTTTTTTACTTTTGTACGCCTATAAGAAGTACGCGTCCGCCTACCAACAAAGGTTTTGGTTTGGATTTGTTATGAAAGAATAATCTCTTTGGCCGATGAAAAGAGATTCCTATCCACTCAATGAAGTCTTTTTTTGTTGTTCAGTATTTTAGCAAATAATTGACCGCGTCCGCATAAAGAGAGGCACATTCGTTGTAAAAAAATCGCTCTCTCTCTCTCTCAAAATAGAGGAGTCCGTCTAACAGAGGTTAACGTTTACCTCGAGCGATTTCTCTGCATGTACAGTGGG